CGTGGGGCCTCCACGAACACAGCTGAAGGAAGAAAGGGGCCCCCCTTCAGCGTCCACACACCTTTCTGATGGCCACTCATGGCTCTCCTTCCACTGCCTTCTCCACGCCAACACTGCCCACGGTCACCCTGTAGGGCGCTTGGCAGCCAGCCATAAACCCACATACAGAACTAGGGACACTTCTCCAAGACCCGAGAGGGCTCATGCAAGGTGTGCCACCTGCGTGCCGCTGGCCGGCGCTGGAAGATGACCAGTCTTGTGGGATAAGCACTGGGTAGGGCCTTTCTTTTTTTTCGTTAAGATTCATTTATCCATTTTAGAGAGAGAACACAAGCAGGAGGGGCAGATAGAGAGGGAGAGAGAATCTTAAGCAGACTCTGCACTAACTATGGAGCCCAAGGCGGGGCTTGATCCCATGACCCTGAGATCATGACCTGAGCCCAAACCAAGATTTAGGCCCTTAACCAACTGAGCCTCCCAGGTGTTCCTCGAGAAGGGCCTTCTATCCACTTCCTGGGGAAAGCAGAAGCCTGCTGAAAGTGCCCCATGTGCGCTCTCCCTCAGTGAGGACGGGCACACCAGGGGCTGGTGGGAGAGTCACAAACGGCTCATCTCTGTGGGATGGGTACTGCGGGCTGTAAGGACACCCTCTCCAGCATTCAGGCCTGCACCTGTGGCACCAGCCATTCCTGGGCTCACAGCCACGTCCGGCCCTCGGCTGCCCCCTTACTGCCCCCATACTGCCCTGGCAACCACTGGTAGGCCGTCCGCCAGCCCTTGGCCACGTGGGCAAAAACTGTGTCGGTGGTGTTCAGGCTGTGAGCGCCAGGCTCGAAGTGGCACACAGGCAAGAGTTCGGGCTGCTCCTGTCCGCATAGCTACAGACCTCAGTCTCCCTCCCTCAGCACTGAAGCCGCTGGGCACAAAGTCTAGAGATCAGTTTCAAGCCTCAGCTGTAAAGGACAGTTGTATCCTGTTTCACTTGTATCACTTAAAATTATTTGTTATAATTTTGGAATCAAACATAAGGAAGTGATTTTCGCTTGTATCGTTTTAAAATATGTGGTCTAATTATTCCCCTCCTCCCACAGAACTCACCAGTTTCGTCCTTAATGTCAGCCTCCGTTTACTGTGGAGTCAGGGCTGCTGGCCTCACCAGGGTGGGCCTTGGACAAACAGACCAACCCAGGGGCTGGGGTACCCCCCCAACCCTGCTTCACCCCAGGACCCTAGGACTTGAGCCCAGCTCACGGGCAGCCTAGAGTGCTCGTGGCAGGACTGGCTCTGAGCCTTGGGATGGAGTGGCCTGACCCACATCTGTTCATATTATTAGCTCCAGAGCCGACTGGCCGAGGCTGTCACACGATTCGAGGAAATGTTGCCTGGGCTTGTGTTTCCAGCCCAGTTGGTTGGAGGGACACATGGGATGGGGGGCAGAGGGGCCTCTGGCTGCCCTTCCTCACCCCCCGACTGTTGTCAAGAGAGCCAGAGAAGACCGCATGTCCTTCCAGGGTGCTGCTGATGTCAAGGCAGGCACCACCCCCTCCCCCAGAGGGCCCCTGGGTGACCCCGCATCGGCTGCCTGGCACCTGGCATTGTCCTGTACCTGTTTACGCAGTCTCTGCTTGTGAGTCCTGGCCTCTCCCTCCCGCTGCCCTCCCTGCCCCTCTCTGAAGCAGGGAAGACAGTGGGTGGGAGGTTGGTTCTCTGGAAAGAATGCCTGCCCTAGACCCCCAGGGTGAGGAGAGTGCCCTCTTTCCTGGCTCTCCTCCTTTTTCTGTTTTTGGTACCTTCAGATGCCAGCATCCCAGGCGTAAGCTAGGGAAAGCCTAGGGAGAGGACCAGGGCTCCTGGCTAGGAGCCCAGCTCTGCGCCTCCAAGCAAAGGGATCTTGTGCCCCTCTCATTAAGATCCCTAAGGCCATTCTCTCTGCTGTCAAATGGGAATCTCAGGTTTGTCCTGCAGGCTGGAGGGCGGGGGCACAGGACAGGGGGTATGTGGAGCCCAGAACTGCACCCCAGAAGCTTATCTGTGGCATATGTTTTGTTCCTGTAAGTTCCTTAAGAAGGGACAAAGGGCCTCTGGCCCCACTGAACTCGGTAAGAAGGGCCGAGACAGACCTCAGGGTCAACAGGAACCAGGAGTCAGAGAATATGAGGATTTCTACATTGGATAGAAGGTGCCAGAAAGGACTAGGCTTGTGGTCTAATTACTGGGCTGCCCGGGGAGGGAAACAAGACATCCTTGCCCTTGAGCCACAAATAAAAGAGTGTTACAGAGATGGCAGCCACCCTGAAGAGGGGTTCTCAAACAGTGTCCCCTCAAGTCCTTGGGCCACTAGGGGTGCGGGGGGAGCGGAGCACAGTGTTCCAGCCCCGCCTATGCTTCACATCGCCCACAGTTCTCTCTTTCTCTGAGTGTAGTTAGAGCTTTGATTGGACAAGAGGTTTCACTACTAAAGCAAATATTTAAAAACCAGAGAACTAATCTAACCCCACCATTTCACCAACGAGGAAACTGAGGCCCAGAAAAGAGAAGTGGCTTGCTCAAGTTCACTCAGCTCAGTTGTGACAGACCTGCTGCCTGGGCCACTCACCCCTGGTTCGGGGACAAGAAGCCTTCATCCTGAGGATGAAGAGGACAACCGCCAAGTGTGTGTGTTGTGGGATGGGGGAAGTGGGGGGATGCCCCCATCAAGGTCTAGGCCTTAGCCTCAGTTCCCCTGATGTGAGCCCAGACAGAAGTGAGGCCTCCAGGGCCAGGAGCCATGTTCTCCCAAGGCAGGCAGCCCAGAGGCTGATCTGGGAAGACAGGAGGGCAAAGTCATCCTCTGCCCACCTCCCTGAGCAATGGAGAGCTTTTTGAGTTGTCAGGCCTGACTAGGCCTCTCCAGCCAACAATGAGCACAGCCCCTGCTCTCCAGTCTGTGGCCCAGCCCCAGAATCACCTCAGACTCCTCACTGCAAGTATTGGAGGCAGGCAGGCAGGTACCCCTCTTCCCTCTTTTACAGGTGTGGACACTGAGGCACCGGCGGGAAGTGGGCCTGGCACAGTGTCTCCCTGACGCAAACCGTGTGCTCTCATCATCATCGCCTGCTCCTTGTCCATGCTGGGGAGCTGCCCTCCTCCCCGCAGAGCAGCTCTGATTACCCCCGCGCCTGGCCCTGTGCTGACTGGCCCACACTTCCCGTCACCAGCTTTAGCAAAGACAACCAAAGTGCCTCTCTGGTCTCTCGGGCAGCCCAGAGCTCTTGGCCTGGCCCCTCTCCTGTGGAGGTAAACAGAACCCCCAGCTGCAGAGAGGGCACAGACCCAGGAACTTGGTTCTCCCACACCGACTAGGTGGGACTAGAACAGCAAATCCCAGGAGGCTCCTCACGCCTGCCTCTTCACTAAGATACAGCCTAGGACTCAGCACCAGGGTGACAAGGCAGATCAGAATTCTCCTAGTTAGCACTGAAAGTCCCAGGTTCCAAGAAATTCCTCCTGGGAAAACCAGGACAACTGGTCCCCCTAATCAGTGTACACAAAGGCAAGGTCATCACCCCTTTCCTTTCCCCTCACTCAACAGGGTCTTTCTTTTTTCTGGAACTCTAGTCTCTGCTAAGGCTAAGGGAGAGGACCGTAGTCAGTCCCTTCAACCTGTCTGGCCCCCTCAGACTGAGCTGGGGACTACCATAGGCCAACAGTAGGGTCAGAGGCCCAGAGTCTGCCCTAGGCCCTGTAAACAACCTGCTGGAGGCCCAGTCCTGCCCCAGGCCCTGTGAGATACATAGCAGAGGTAGCCCAAGAAAGGCCTAGTGGGGTCCTGTGCCTCGATCCCAAGCCAACTCTATCCTCACGCTGGGGGGCACACCACTCCGGGTGACCCCAGGTAGGGCAACCCTAGGGCTGGAGCCAGGCAGAGTCCGCCCGGGACTCACTGAGGCTGCCTCTACCTGTCTGACTTCGAGGTGAGTCATTTCCTCCCTCAGCTGGTTATGAGGCTAGGAAGGACAGGGAGGGGACAGCATCTAAAAATAGCAGGGCCTCCACCAGTGGAGATACCCAAAGAGCTTCTCCTGGGGCAAGGGAGGAGCCAGCTTCTCCTCCGAGCTGACAGCAACTGTGGCCCCTGCCAGGTGCCTGCCTTAGGCCCAGCAGCAGGATGGCCCGAGACCCCTGGCCTCCCCCTTCCCAGGCTCAGCAGAGAGAGCTGAGGTGTGGAGGAGGCATCCTGAAGGCTGAGACCCAGAAGCAGTGCTGGTGGGGTGGGAGCTTAAAAGACGACGGAGCCTGGGGACGGGTGGGAGGATGCGTGGTGTGTGATTCGGAAGGCTTGGCCCTCACCGGGACTGGCAGAGGGAGCAGGGACGGATCAGCAGCCGGGATTCACCTCCCACATCATCTCCACAGAACCACCTCGGCTCCCCGCCCTACCCACACACCGAGACACACACAGGGACACGCAGACATGGCCCCACACTCAGGCGGCCTCTGAATCATTTCCTTCTAGTAGCGCTCATCTCCCTCGTCACCAGCACGGACTGAGGACCTACTGTGTGCTGGAGTCACACCCTGGAAGGTCAGGAAATGGGGTTCATGACTTGCCTTGGGGACGTCTTAAGAGGCCCCCGAGGAGAAATACAAATCAAAACCACAGTGAGACACCACCTCACACCAGCCAGAATGGCTAAAATTAACCAGTCAGGAAATGACAGATGCTGGCAAGGATGCAGAGAAAGGGGAACCCTCCTACACTGCTGGTGGGAATGCAAGCTGGTGCAGCCACTCTGGAAAACAGCATGGAGGTTCCTCAGAAAGTTGAAAACAGAGCTACCCTATTACCCAGCAATTGCACTACTGGGTATTTACCCTAAAGATACATATGTAGTGATCCGAAGGGGCACGTGCACCCCAATGTTTATAGCAGCAATGTCCACAGTAGCCAAACTATGGAAAGAACCCAGATGTCCATCAACAGGTGAATGGATAAAGAAGATGTGATTGATTTTCAGGCGTCTAGTACTACTGGGAATGTGGGGAGCCGAAGAGCCAGGCAGAAGGGGGAGCTCAGGGCCATTGCTGAGGGCCATGAGTGCTTCCCTGGTCTCATCCAGTCCCCCAAGTCACCGTGGCCCTTTCCCAAGTACAGCAGACTATTGTCTGTGCTCTGCTTTTTAGACCTCCAAGTATCACTGGTCTCAAGATAGGCCCCCCCAACGCCCCCGCCTCCCAACACACACACACATACACTCACCACCTGACATCAGGAAGAAACACGTGAGCATGGGTGAGCCAAGATCCCATCCTCTACTTCTGCCCTTCCTGGCAGGAGGAGATAGAACAGGTTAGATGGGCAGCCCCACAGTGGGTCTGGGAGGGAGCCAGCAGGCTGGGAGCAGGAGAGACCACTCACCCTCTGGTGGAATCACAGGCAGTCTTTCAAGTGCTAGTACAGCCCGCCGCCTGGAAGCCACAGGCATTCGGCCTGTGCAGGCATCTGACTTACGGTCTAAGGAAGAGAACAGAGGTCATGAGTTGAGGGTGGAATGCAGAGCCTTTAGTGCAGAAGGGGGATGGGGGGTATGCCGTGTCACTGGTAGCAGGCTCCCGCCTCCTCCACCCCTGCATGTGGGTAGTGAGCTCTGTTTCCAGCAGTTGCCGGCGGGGACAGACGGGACCAAGCCCAAAGGAGCGTAGGCAGATCCAAGAAAGGTTCTTCTCTGTGTTGATACCTGCCTAGCCGTCCTCTGCCTGTGTCCCCCCTCGGCAGGGGTCCAGCTCCGAACGCGGTGCTTTGAGGCCATCTGCTAGCGCCTCCGGGAGTGACAGTGCAGGAGGGAGACAGGTTGGGGCGAGGTGGGCAGGCCGGCAGCCAGGAGGTTGGCTTGTTTGTGGAGGCTCCAGGCCACGTGATCAGCAAGCTAACTGCTACCACTCTCCTCCGCAGACCATGAAATCCCTGGAGAATTTTTGGTGACATGCACTGAGCCAAGGTGATGGACTGTATATTTAAGGAAAGACATAAAAAGAAAAAAAAAATTAAAATGGAATTGGAGGCCGAACGCCACACAGCTGCCCTCTCTCTCACCCAGTAAATGCTGAAAGCTCTTAGGACAGGAAAACCTGCCACGGGGCTGCTTCCCTTCCTCCCAGGGCTGGCAGAGGCTCAGGCTCCACTTCGGCTCTCTCCTAGGATACGGAAACCATGGCAACGAAAGTAGAATGTAAAACTTGGAGCAAAGGGCTGGGGGAGGGGGCGCCCAACTGCCTTCCTCCCCCTCCTGGGAGCCACCACCAGTCACCTCTCCGTGGAAGCCAGTCAGAGGCATTGGCCAAGGATAGGAGGAGGAGGAGCGAGAACTCTCCATAGAATGTAATTTTCAGAGCATGTATATGTACATATATATATATCTATTTATATGTAAATAGCATATATAAAGATATATATATATACATATATATATACAGTCTACTTTTTAAACTATGCAGGGATTTGGTTATTTAGCTGATTTCCTCCCTGTTTTAGAAAACAAGGCCTGTGTGGGGAAGGTCACTTGGTCCTTCAAAGGCTAGACATTGGCCAGAGCTGACAGCCTGAAAGAAAATCCCCTCAACCCCAGCCTGCTGTTGATGGCAGCAGTAATCATGATAGTGTAAGTCTAGAGAACTCAGAGGGTGCCAGGGTCATGATGAAGCTGGAGGGGAACAGGCTTTCAGGGGAGGAAGTGCCCCTAGGGCCAGGTACCCTGTCAGGATCCAGTCGTGGAGGCCCCCGGCTGCCTGCGGGTGTGGTACCACCCACCACAAGCTTTGGTCAGCTCAGGTGGGCTCTTGGGCCTGGAGCCCAGGAGCCTTCTGCCCCCTTGCCACAGAGAGCAGGGTTAGAGAGGGGGACCAAGTTCTGCCTGGCCACCCCCCCCCCACCTCAGTCCCAAAGTGGGTTTTGCCTTATAGATGCCACAGGGCACAGCTCCGTGTTGTTGCCACTGGTTTTTCCCAAGTCAGGCACCAAGGACTCCAGACGGTTCTTCCTCCAAGAGTCAGCCAGGCGGTGCCCAAGACCCTGGGGCAGCAGCCACCTCCTGAAGAAAGTCCAGGCCTGTGGGCACCTCTGTCTCCGCCATCCATGGACATGCTGCCACCCGGCCTTCTGTTGCACTTTGGACAAAGGCTGCATCCGAACCTGAAGGGTTTCCTTCTACTCACCTTGAAGTGAGGATTTTTCTCACAGCAGCAGTTGCTGCCAGGGGAGGGGAGGGAGGTTTTATTTATTCCCACAGTTTATACTGAGCCTTTTGGAATTACCGTTTTTCCCAAATTTTCCTCTGGCAGTGGGTGTGTCCTGGAGCCTGCCATCGTCCAAAGCCTTACTTCCCTAAGCTGCCAGCCAGGAGGCCATAACCACCCTCCCAGAATTTCTCTTGGCTCTTTTTTTTTTTTTTTTCTTTTTTTTTCTTAAGTAACCCCCAACGAATAAGATTCTTGCTGGGAAAGGAAGCTTGGTAAAGAAGTGTCAGATCGGATTTTTGAACGAGATCCCACCCTGTGATGCAACAGCCACCCCAGCTGGAGAGACACTAAGAACTGGACATGGGCAGGAGCGCCCCACCCTTGGTGGCCCTGGTGCTCTGCTGCCACCTCCCCTACCATCTGGTCTCCGTAGCCGTCCCCAGGTGGGCTGACCCATGTGCAATAAGAACATAGATCCTAAAGGATCCCCTGAGAAGCTGTATTTCTTGAATTAGAATTCTAAAATTGTACATCTATAAATATATGTTTATTATGTGATTGGCCTTGGTGGGTCTGCATTGAGCAGGGGAGCTGAGGTGGGACACAGCCCAGGCTGGACCACCAGCAGTCCTGGGTGACCAGCCCAAATGTCGTCCCCACCCCTTGCCCCAGCTGACAGCCACTTTGGTCACAAGTGTTCTTCCAAGGCTGACTCCAGGCAAAGGGGAAGGGGCTCAGGCCAGGATTCTGGGGTCCCTGGTAGCCTCTGCTTCCCCCGGTTCCTGCTCCCTCTCCATCCCTCCTGTGAGCAAAACATTGAGAATCTTCCCTCCTCCCCAGCTGGGAGCTAGAGCCCACTCTGGATCCAGAGCAGGGGGAAAGTTTGAGTTTCTTTCCATCTCCGCCTGCACAGTCTTCTAGACACACTTCCCACAGCCCGCCCTCCTCCTCCAGAAGGTCGGAGAAGTTAAAAATGTGGCTGCCCGAGGAGAGCTTTCTGTGAATGGAGCCACCGATCTGCCCGGGCCTCCCAGAGACAGGACCCCGCGGCCCTGACTGGCGGCCTGAGGCCCCTCCCGCTGCCTCTCCAGCCAAAGACGGCCAGGCTGCCTGGTGGTGCCACTGAAGCCGGGGAGCTCATTGGCTGTCCCTGCCCAGGGTCACCGCCGCTGGCTCTGCCTGGTCTGCGAGCTGCCACTTGTTAGCGGCAGTTGGCAGAGGCGTCGCCAGCCACCCCCTTTCACTCCTCCCATCCCCCTACCCTCGGCAGGCCAGAGGGGGCGGGCCAGACTCTAGCCGACTGTTGGCTGCAAAAAAAGCCTCTGACAAGTGTCCCCACCCACTCTCGGGTGGCAAAAAAACAAGCCACTAGTTCATCCAAGCTCCCAGGACCTGCCCGCTTCTCTGCTCGTCCCAGGCTGCCCCCAGCTCTCCAGAAGGGACCTGCTCCCTGGGGCAAGGAGCACGCGCCCTGGCCCACTGGAATCTCCTTGCCCCGAGGTCCCTGGGCAAAGTCACCCGGCTGTCCAGGGCAGACACCCAGATGGCGGTGCCAGGACTCAGGTAAATAGACTTGACACAGTGTCACTACCGGAGCAACTCAGAATCCTTACCAGATGTCACACCCAGAACAGGAAACTGAAGCCTGGGGAAAGGCAAGGTGATGCCCAAGGGTCCCCAAGAAATTTGCATGTCCTCCGGGTCTAAGTAGCAAAGCAATCATTCTGCAAACATTTGCTGAACTTGGATTCACTGTGCTCAAGAAGATTAACCCCACTTGTGTCAAGGTAAATGGTGGGAGGCCTGTCCAGAAGGGTGGAAAAGGGAAAACGGTACTTAATCTGAGGGGCTCAGGCTGGGGACAGGTTTCCCAGAGGGGCAAGGGCACCCTCTCCCACAATTACAGATGTGTCTGCCCCATTGTGACGGCAGCTTCCCTGAGTTGACATCATCCCCAGGAGACCACATAATAGACCAGTTGTTGGTTTTCAGTGTGGACCCCGCAGCTGCATCCATGTCCTAGCTGGGTGGCCCTGGGCAGGTCATTTAACCTCCCTCTGTCTCCGTTTCCTCATCTTCAAAACGAGAGTCATAAAACCACCTACCTCACTGGGTTACAGTGGGGAGTAAAAGCATTCTCACATGTACAGCCCTTAAATGCCGTCTGGGACACGAGAAGCTCTAAGTGCTGTTACATGTCCTCAGTTGCCGAAGATTAATATGGCAGCTCAAGCCCCATTCCAGGCCCTGAACCCACAAAAGTGGCAACCGGGCAGGGGTTTGACAGAACCCAGAGGGCGGGGGACAGCGATGGAAACAACGCTGGGAGTGCGGCAGGTGTGAGCAGCTCGACCAGGGGAGTCTGGGTAAAGGAACTGGCGCCTGTGACAGGGCGGGGAGTCCCACTGGGCTGGGGGCGGAGTGGGTGCTCCAAGCACCCTTCCCGGACATGCAGTTGTGAGCAAAGTCCTGGAGCTGGGGAGGCACGGAGGCGACCACATTCGAGGGTGCTGGGTCCTGCCCTCGGGGAGGTTGGCGGGCACACCGGAACCCTCTAAGGCTAGCCATGAGGGAGGCAGGTGGCGGGAACAAAGCTGGAGGCCTAGGTCGTGTGCGCACGGTCACCCCGTCACCCAGCCTCTCGTGGAGGGTTGTTTCCCCAGCAACAAGGCCAGGGCCTCCTGTAGCTTGTAACACCCCACAGCCTACTCTCTAGGACCCCCATGACCGAGCATCACCCGCCCCAGAGTCCAAGAGTTGGGGCTTTGCTTGGGAGGAGAGTGGGGTCCTAACTGCCACATGGTGTCCTTCCTTACCCCAGCTTCCCCTGCCATGGTTTGTTTCTGGGAAGGCAGGGATGCCCTCTGGCTGGGCTTGCCCTTGGGGACAGGCAGGGTGTACAGCTCCCCAGGGGAGTTGGTGCTGGGAGGGGCAAGGGGCCAGGCTCAGGGCCTTCAGGGAGTCTGGTCAGCAACCCCACTCCTTTAACTGGACTCCTGCCATTTTTCTGACAGACACAGTGAGGGAGCCCAGGAGACGGATGTCTGAGCAGCACAGGAGGGTGCCAGTGGGCTCTTCTTACAGATGGAAACATGGAGGCCCGATGGAGGGAGGGAGGTTGTTTTCGGGTTCCTGGTTCATGCCCATGGCCCTCCCGCTCTCACCTGGCTGCCCGCTGGAGCCTCCTCCAAGCACCCTTCCCTGACATGCTGCCCCAGTTCCTTCTGCCAGCGGCTTTCCCGTTGCTCCGCCACCCCACTCCTCTGGGAGGCCTGCCATGTTCCCACAGCCTTGGCCCAGCCCCGCCCTCTCACCCCGTCAGTCCAGAGGTGTTTGTGCAGTTCTTGGATGAAGGCTCTGCACCCTGGAGAGGCAAGGGCCTGCCTGGGGCCTGTCCGGCTGCTTCAGTGCTGCCGGCCTGGGCACCGTGGGGCCTCCACGAACACAGCTGAAGGAAGAAAGGGGCCCCCCTTCAGCGTCCACACACCTTTCTGATGGCCACTCATGGCTCTCCTTCCACTGCCTTCTCCACGCCAACACTGCCCACGGTCACCCTGTAGGGCGCTTGGCAGCCAGCCATAAACCCACATACAGAACTAGGGACACTTCTCCAAGACCCGAGAGGGCTCATGCAAGGTGTGCCACCTGCGTGCCGCTGGCCGGCGCTGGAAGATGACCAGTCTTGTGGGATAAGCACTGGGTAGGGCCTTTCTTTTTTTTCGTTAAGATTCATTTATCCATTTTAGAGAGAGAACACAAGCAGGAGGGGCAGATAGAGAGGGAGAGAGAATCTTAAGCAGACTCTGCACTAACTATGGAGCCCAAGGCGGGGCTTGATCCCATGACCCTGAGATCATGACCTGAGCCCAAACCAAGATTTAGGCCCTTAACCAACTGAGCCTCCCAGGTGTTCCTCGAGAAGGGCCTTCTATCCACTTCCTGGGGAAAGCAGAAGCCTGCTGAAAGTGCCCCATGTGCGCTCTCCCTCAGTGAGGACGGGCACACCAGGGGCTGGTGGGAGAGTCACAAACGGCTCATCTCTGTGGGATGGGTACTGCGGGCTGTAAGGACACCCTCTCCAGCATTCAGGCCTGCACCTGTGGCACCAGCCATTCCTGGGCTCACAGCCACGTCCGGCCCTCGGCTGCCCCCTTACTGCCCCCATACTGCCCTGGCAACCACTGGTAGGCCGTCCGCCAGCCCTTGGCCACGTGGGCAAAAACTGTGTCGGTGGTGTTCAGGCTGTGAGCGCCAGGCTCGAAGTGGCACACAGGCAAGAGTTCGGGCTGCTCCTGTCCGCATAGCTACAGACCTCAGTCTCCCTCCCTCAGCACTGAAGCCGCTGGGCACAAAGTCTAGAGATCAGTTTCAAGCCTCAGCTGTAAAGGACAGTTGTATCCTGTTTCACTTGTATCACTTAAAATTATTTGTTATAATTTTGGAATCAAACATAAGGAAGTGATTTTCGCTTGTATCGTTTTAAAATATGTGGTCTAATTATTCCCCTCCTCCCACAGAACTCACCAGTTTCGTCCTTAATGTCAGCCTCCGTTTACTGTGGAGTCAGGGCTGCTGGCCTCACCAGGGTGGGCCTTGGACAAACAGACCAACCCAGGGGCTGGGGTACCCCCCCAACCCTGCTTCACCCCAGGACCCTAGGACTTGAGCCCAGCTCACGGGCAGCCTAGAGTGCTCGTGGCAGGACTGGCTCTGAGCCTTGGGATGGAGTGGCCTGACCCACATCTGTTCATATTATTAGCTCCAGAGCCGACTGGCCGAGGCTGTCACACGATTCGAGGAAATGTTGCCTGGGCTTGTGTTTCCAGCCCAGTTGGTTGGAGGGACACATGGGATGGGGGGCAGAGGGGCCTCTGGCTGCCCTTCCTCACCCCCCGACTGTTGTCAAGAGAGCCAGAGAAGACCGCATGTCCTTCCAGGGTGCTGCTGATGTCAAGGCAGGCACCACCCCCTCCCCCAGAGGGCCCCTGGGTGACCCCGCATCGGCTGCCTGGCACCTGGCATTGTCCTGTACCTGTTTACGCAGTCTCTGCTTGTGAGTCCTGGCCTCTCCCTCCCGCTGCCCTCCCTGCCCCTCTCTGAAGCAGGGAAGACAGTGGGTGGGAGGTTGGTTCTCTGGAAAGAATGCCTGCCCTAGACCCCCAGGGTGAGGAGAGTGCCCTCTTTCCTGGCTCTCCTCCTTTTTCTGTTTTTGGTACCTTCAGATGCCAGCATCCCAGGCGTAAGCTAGGGAAAGCCTAGGGAGAGGACCAGGGCTCCTGGCTAGGAGCCCAGCTCTGCGCCTCCAAGCAAAGGGATCTTGTGCCCCTCTCATTAAGATCCCTAAGGCCATTCTCTCTGCTGTCAAATGGGAATCTCAGGTTTGTCCTGCAGGCTGGAGGGCGGGGGCACAGGACAGGGGGTATGTGGAGCCCAGAACTGCACCCCAGAAGCTTATCTGTGGCATATGTTTTGTTCCTGTAAGTTCCTTAAGAAGGGACAAAGGGCCTCTGGCCCCACTGAACTCGGTAAGAAGGGCCGAGACAGACCTCAGGGTCAAC